CGAGAACTCGGTGACCGTCCGAGAAGATCGACCCTCGCTGGGCGGGCGGGCTAGCTCCGAGATCATCGAAAAAGTCGTCTAGGCTGTCGAGCTTGTTCACTATGTCACCCATGTTACCGTGTCCATGGGCGTCGTCCGACATCATCGTCTCCGTCCGATCCGGCAGGTGGAAGTAGCCGTACGGGAAATCCTCGGCATGGAACTCGACGTCGGGCGTGGGCGTCGCGTCGGCCAGCATGCCTTCGGCGTTTTGACACATGTAAAAGGCAGCGTGGATATTGGCCCGCGTCGAATCCGTCTTTTTCGCCGGGACGGGGATCGCCCAGCCAGATGCTTCGGGGATGCCGAATAAGCTCTGCATCCGCCCATACTCTTTGCGAACCGTCTTGGACGTCGACCGCGTCATGCTCATCCGGAGATGCTGATTGTCCATCGCGCTGCCCGACATGGTCATGATATTGTCCAACACCTCCAGCGCCTCCATGCAGTACTCGGTTTGAAGCAGGCGCAGCAGTGGAGAGATCAGATCAGAACCGTGACCGGCCAACTCGGGTCTCCTCATATCGATCTCCGGGATGACAGTGCTTAGAATGCTCATCGTCTTGATCTTGACCCACGAGATGGAGTTGGTGAGCAGCCCCATCAAGAAGACAACCATATTGAACTCCAACTTGGGCAGAAAATGATCCCTCAGCGCACTGAACAACTGGACCTGGAATTCCCGCGTGTCAATATGGTGCTTGAAGGCGATGTACTCCTCGAGGACCTCCGCGATGTTGCCGTACCCCTGATCCTCCGCCACGGTGCAGAGAACCTCGGCCGCTTGGAGACATTGTTCGCTTGGTGTCTCCTGCTCCATCTCATGCAGCAGCATCGGAAAGTAGGCCAGGATGACGTAGAATAGCCGACTATCGTCACCGACTAGGTTGTCGCTCGGCAGCTGGACCAACTTGGTCATGATAGTGAGGGTCGTGTCCATGCAAACCGAGGATCGGAGGCCCTTGTAGAGAAGAGCCTGCAAGCCCTCAAAAGCGCCATCCCAACGCGAGGGCTGGCCGTCGGACAGCATTCTCCGTACGTTGGGTGACTGGAAGTCAATCTTGGCCAGGAACTCGTTCAACATTTCAACTGCCTCCAGGAATTCGCGCTCATTGATTGATTCGAGACAGGCGCATGTCGTCCAAAACAGTTGTGGGAATGTCAGAAGCTTTTCAGCATCAAGCTTGACGATGAGTGTCTTGAGGGTCGTCAAAATCTCCATAGAAAAGGTTTGGATCTCGGAATCTTCGTCTGCGATGGTGTTGGACAAGCGAGCAAGCATGTCACCCAGCATGAATTGGTCCAAGGACGTAAGAACGCAGCGGAAGATTTGGAAGGATCGGCAGGCGAGATGTCGCACGGGGCATGAGGTAGCCCAGGTCAGCGACAGCCGACCCCATTGCTCCTTGATGCCAGGGTATGTCATCTCAAACGTCTTGACAACTTCAGTTGTCAAGTACTCCATGCTTGCCGGGACCTTGTTGTCGTGGGTTTCGGCTTTTCCGTTGCTGTCCTCGTAACCCCAGACGACGCTGCGATCGTGCTGGCGGATGAGATCGATCATGTTCTCAATGGACTCTCTGGCGCTGGCTGGCGTTTGCTCGTCTAGTTGGGAGATGACTAGTTCGTGGATCAAATGTATAAGCATCTCTCGAGCCTGTTCCTGGACTAGTGGCGTGTAATGATCCCAGAGAACGGTGACCACTTGGAGGAGAACCGGCACGTTCTCTGGCGTCAGTTGTATCGGTGAGACCATGAGGTCGACCAAGAGTATCATGGACAGCTGGCCCAGAGAGAATCCAGCCTGCTTTGTACCGATCGGCAAGGCCTCGCTCAAGTCGGCACAGTATGGAAGCTGAACAATATCCGGTGGCGGCGATGCAATTTCCTTCTTCTCGTTGGGCACCATGGCCTTGGGGGTGATCTGCATGAGAAGGAACTCAACGACCTTGATGCCGGGAGTACTCGTCGTGCTTGCCAAGAAAACAACGATTTGCTTGGCGTACTCGACAAAGTTCTGCTCCCGCCGTTCGAGGCATAAAGAAATGATGAAGTCAAGGATCAATCTGACGTTGCCAGGGTATGGGCCCGTGGCGAGTGCCTGCCAAAGCGCCTGCACCTCGTTGTGCAAGGCACCGCTCGATTTGATCGTGATTTCGAGTAAGTTGGCCAAGAGAACGTACGATTCGGCGATAGGACCGCCATTGGGATCCACCTTCAACTCTATCGACTGAATCCAGGGCAGAAGGACTGCTACGACGTTGCGCTGTGAGGCAGGCTGTAGGTCCTTGAAGTAGAGGGTGAATTCTGAGAAGATGTGGAAGGCCAGTTCTGTGTGCTGCTTCGACAGCCGCTTTGATATTTCGAACTGGGCGTTCTTGTACACCGCCTTCGTCTTGTCCGAAATACTTATGTCATAATCCTGTATCTTGGAGCTTCGAGCGGGCTGCTGCCGTTCCTCCAGGGCTCGGAGGACACGGGCAGACTTGGACCGGATCTCGCTCTCATCGTTACCAAGAGTGAAGAGACAGAGGCTGAGCAGTTTCCAGAAGGGGGAAGGGTAGTCAGGGTACTCCAAGAGTACTTGCGTGACCACAGCAAAATAGCTCTCGAGAACTTTCGGCACATCCGACAAGTAACACCGAGCAATGCAGCCCTGTTCGAGGAGGTAAGGGTACTCCTGGTTGTGCGTGATCAGGTTCTGCAGCGCCCGCCGGCCGATGACGTTCATACGGTCACTGCCAGAGTTGAAAATGGCCTCGATCCAAGCAAGCATTCGACGCAGATCGAATTGCAGTGTTGCACCACTCTCCGTCGTGATACTCATAGGCCCGCCGCACAGGGCGGCCATGGCGCTGAGTGCTGCCGTGCGGAGATTGCGCTTCTCGATTTCCATGGCCGCGGTCACGGTCCCTCGCTCGCCATGGGATTGCTGATCGATCAGAGACTGTCTCATAGTGTCTTCCCTGGCCCTGATTTGGTTTTGATTTGGTGAGAAGCCGCACCAGTCTTCCATGAGAGAAAACGCAGATTTTCTAGACTCAAACGTCATCCACCTGGAGGGGTCTGACGTCCGATTGATACCATCAAAAAGCTCTTCCATGAGTCCACAGTAATGGCGACGTAGCTTTTGAAATTCCCAGTCCATCTGGACTTCGCCGTCCATAAGAAAAAGCTTAAGGTCTCTGGTGTAGTTGACCAGATTGTTCAAAACCCATTCGTCTTGGTAGAGATCAGGCTCCTTCAGGAAGTGCGACGTGAGTTTGTAAATATGCGTGATCTCGGTCCGCAAGAGGTCCATCTTTCTATTCCGTCGAGGGCTGCTGTTGGTGCGCTGGTGGATCCGAGCGCGTGCCTCGTCGTTGCACCGAGATGCCTGCCCAGCAAGTTCTTCGAGAAGTGGCCTGTAAATGTGCTTGTTGATGGAACCCATGGCGAGAACCACAGCATCGCGGACAGAGGCGGAAGACGCCGAGAGAAGTGGTATGAGGTACTTGAATAGCAGACGGGCTGAAACGATCTTGTCAGCCGCGTTTGGTTTGGATGTCTTCCGATTATGCTGTGTAGCCTGGGCAGGGCTTGTCATTTGGCTACCCGTGTCGGCCAGCGTGGTACAGGCGAAGATGAGGTACAACTTCCACTGTTCAATCATAACTTCGGGCTGCGTGGTCGGCGTCCGGCTCGTGAGCCGGCCGCTTCCTGTGTCATTTCCGTAGTACAGACCCCTGGAGGGTTCGGACAGCACCGTGATACCCTTGTACATCTGCAGTATCCGGTTGCATATTAGGTCACGGCCGATGGTGACTGTGAAAAGACACTTCTCATAGGCGATGCGGATGAGGTTGGGGAAGAGTTTGAACCAGAGGGTCGTGTCGTACGACACATCGCTTGTGCAAAGTTCGACCAGGGCGCCCCGACTATTACTGTTCTGAATTCCCCTCTGCAGCCTGCTCCGTTCCGCGACGGAAAGGTGTTCGTCCTTGAAGTTCATTACTTGCATCGAGTCGTTCTCCAAAATGTCGATCACTCGCAAGTCACCATCTTCTGCACTTTTACTCTTGCCAAGCGCTGCATCAAAGTCGTTGATCAAACGCAGAACTGTGATCGCAAAATACCGTACCCTGCGAGATTGGGAGCAGAGGAAGAAGAGCCCGTGGGCCTCGGCCTGATCGACTTCGGCCCAGGTGCTGGATATGTCAAGTTTGGCACCACGCGTGTCAGTCGCGTCAGGCTGTTCGACGGATGCGTCCCGCGCCTTTTGCCTGATCTCCTCGATCCAGATTTGCAGCAGTTCGATGTACAGGCGGAGGGTACTCTCAATGTGGCCAGGGCCGAGCATGCCGCCATCAGACATTGTGGAGTACCGGTCGTCGAAGTTGAAGATAAAACGTGCAAACCCCATGATGACTTGCTGCGCGTGCAACTGTCGAGCAATGGCCTTGAGCGACCGTGCTGAGGACTGGGCAATATTGTACTGAACATGGGCAGTGCCAGTGCAGAGGAGGTTGATCAGTGAGTTGAAGGGTATGTCGGTGGAAAGACAACGCGGGAGTGCTTGAACGGCAACGTGTAAGAGCTCGTAGAAGGGTTGCTTCGAGTCGGACACTGTTTGGTGATCATCCCGTCTCGAGAATGTAAAGGTGTCGGCTATAGGGGTTTTGGGGCCCGGGCTGCTAAATTTCTCATCCAAGGTCGCTTGTCCGCCGAAAGTGTTATCGCAGTGTATCGTTATCTTGCCCAGCACCTCAGAGAACCTATAATAATACTCCCGAGCTGGATCGCTTAGCACGCTGGCATCCACGGGCCGCAGGAGCTCCTCGCTTTCGATTGGGGGGACTGTAGCTGTAGCTGAGGGCCCTTGTTGCGGTGACGGAGTCGAGGGCGAAAGAGGCATTCGCTCGGGTGTTGGTGTCGGCACATATGACACTGGAAAGGGCGGACGGCCCTGCGACCCCTTTTCGAGGTCTGACATGATGACCATGAAAGCCCGGATGCCTATGACTATGCGATCAGGGTCCAGTTGCTCCACCTTGGCCTCCCGGCCCGACAGGAATAGATCGGCATTGACGAGCGGGAAAATTATGTTTTTGAAGCAGTATTCAGGATATCTGAAACCGATGATGCGGATAATTTGTAGTAACGGGTCGATGACCGAGGCGTCAGACGCGACGAGACTGCGCCTGGCGGCTGGGAGAACGAGCCTCATCAACTCATCAAGTTTGCGAGAGGCGTTGGCCGGTGTGTCGTTGGTTCGATACAAGTAAGCCCATGCCAGCCTTGAGACGACTTGCAAACACAAAGGTCGAGCGAGTCGGTCTTTGATTTTAGTCTGTAAGGGAAGAATCAACTGCATCCACTGTGCGGCAAAGGTTTCGGGAGTCGAGACGCAAAGCATGGTTGCCGTGAGGGGGAAGGCGAAATTCCAGTGCCGGGGCTTCAAGGACATCTGAGCCGGGCGTGGGCCGATAGCTGCTAAGACTTCTGCCCACTTCGGATGGGAGAGCTCATTAGAGGTGGCCTTGGCTGCGATGGGTAGCAAGAGGACCTCGAGAACCTGACAGAAAGCAGTCTTGACCTTCTGTCCGTGAGACCGGTTGAAAAGCCTTCCGAGCTTGATCAGAAAGTCGCATGAGTTTTCCCACGCCTCGGTTGGAGCGATCTTAATCTTGAGATGCTTCATGCCACCCAGGACCAATTCGATCTTGCCCTCGGCATCGCGACCAGCCTGCGTCATGGCACTCTTGGCAGCGAGATCCTGCAAAGAGCGATCTATATCGCCAAGGAACCGCTCCGTGACACCCTTAAAGTTGATATCGCTCATGCCGCCAAGCAGCTGAGAAAAGAGATTCCAGTTGGCCAGTTTCAGCGGGCTCATGACGAGTTGATCCGTGTCGGCAATCTTCAATTGGCCAAAAATGATGCCTTCGAGCTTTTCTTCCATTTCGAGAGTCAACAATGGCAGGCTCGTCTGGCTGATGACTTGCAGCAGCACTCGGCAAAGGATATATATGGACACTGTCGAGCGACGTTCGGCGTGTGCTACGAATTCTTGTTTGGCAGCCATGGAAGCCCCTGGACTTGTCAACGGATTCTCTGTGGACGGTCCGGTCCCGGCAGACAGTGGCTGCAGCGGCTCCGTATTCCGGCGCTGTAGGGACGTTGGCGTCTTGGATTGCTGCAACTGGCCTCGGGCATCATTGGCGGCGTCGCTCTTGCTTTTCCTCCACAGCATGATCGAGTCGATGAGGGGCTTGGGTCGAGGCCGCGCGATGTGTCCGAGGGCGGCGATGATCTGGTCGAACGTCGTGTCGACCCCAGGCCCACATACGAGTTCGACCTGTGGCTCGGGGTCGAACGGCACCGTTATGCAATCGTTGAGCTTCTCCTCGGCTTGCGCAATGAACTGGTCCAGAGTCAGCACCACGGGTGAACGAATGAAGGCAGAGGTTCGAGAGGCAACGGACCTGCGTGAAGAGCACGTGCAATGCATACTCGCCCACAGTCTTTTGCTGATCCTCCTTGTTGTGCCTCGATGAGTGGGTATGGTGGTGAGCGCCATCGCGTCTGGTCTTGCTGTGCATGCGTTCAAGCTTCCTCTGAGTGGAGGTTTCGGTGGTGTTGGCGGCGGCAGGGGATGCCCTGCCGGAGCCTTGCGTAGTGCCAGACGGGGCTGTGGGTGGACGAGAAGAAGCAGACGCAGGTCCCGGTCCTATGGCGGACGCAGGACCGTCTGGCTCTTGTCGTGCCACTGCATACATGTCTGGCCGGTCGGTGGCGGAGAGGCTAGCACCAGCTGCAGCGATTATCTGCGGACTGAGGGGACTGGAAGACGAGCTGGCGAGGCTTCCATTTCGAGAGTGTTGTATGCCGTGTACGATGGAGGTCTGGCGGTGGTGGCCATACGTGCCACCCTTGGGGTCGCCGGCGCGGTGTGCGGTGTGCGAGTGCGGTAGTCGTGGCGACGACAAGGAAGGCAGAGGGCCAGCGAGCTTCTCGAGTGACGATTCCCGCGAATGGGCAACGGAACGAGCAACACTGGCGGGCAGATCGAGCGGAAAGGCGGCAGGTCTCACGGTGCGCTCCCAGTCAACGACAGAGTCTCCGCGCTCCTCGTCTTCCTCGTCGAGGGTCGTCACAGAGCGAGGCGAGAACTTTTGTGGATCCTGAAGATGGTCGGGCAGCGTCTGGGGCGGAGCTACTAAGCAGCAAGAGAAGTTGTTAGTCAAAAAAGGTACGAGGCAAGGTCGAGGAGGCCCAAGATCGCGGTCCCATGGGTTTCGATGTGCTGTGTGCGTGGTTCCCCCCTCTTGCTCTTCATTCGTCGTGAAACGCAGAACGCAACGGAAGGACGCCAGGCAGGGTGATCGGGATCGGGAAGGGGGGTGGGTGCCCAAGTAGCCTGTAGGAAGAAGGTGGCTTCGCGACGGGTGGGTGTGGAAGCAAGCGCAGGAGGATTCCCGGTGCACAGATGCTCGTAGCAGCAACCAGCAGCCAGCAGGACGGCGTCGGACGCAAGCTGATGTGGTGGACCTTGGCTCTAGGATGTTGGGGAGGACTGGGAGAAGAAAGGCAGACTAACCCATTGTCAGGTTGGACCAAGGGCCATGATCCGTCTTACGACATGTGAAGATGGTGTAGCATCACGGCCTCCCGACGGCAGTACTGCTTTGGCAAGGTGTGGTTGGAGACTCGACTGCAGCGGGTTTGGGCAGTCGAACGTAGCAAGGTTGGGTGGATGGAGCGAAGGAGATCTTGCGGAGGAGGAGACAGCACCAGATCAATGAATTGATGAATGGATGATGGAGTCCAGGCCCCAGCCTCCAGTGCCTGCGGCGTCGATCACCGACGTCCAATTGGATTTTCGGCTGCTGTAAGGGTTGCCTTTCGCGGGCCTGGGAGTCCTGCAAGGGCCACCAGCGCGGACGAAGCCAGCAGGTGAAATGCCCTAACGAGGCCTAGCAGCCCGGCCGTGGGAGATCTTCTGGGGGCCCAGGACGTGTGCTGTGGCCTCCCCTGTAGGGGTTGACCCTTGGGGGAGGATGGTCGGGGGGTGGTTGAGGGGTCACTTGGTTGCTTGGGTCCTCTGGATGGGTTTTTTGAGGGGCACGACCAGGGGTCTCCGCGGCATGTACCGTCTTGATTGGCTGGTCCCTGACTTGGCCCCATCCCTTGCGCGCGACACCTGCCAGCATTGCGGGCCGCCGTCATTGGTGCCGATGGGGAAGGTCATGTCAGTCCCCAGGTGGGCAGCGGGCAGCCAGAACTCTCTCTCATCCAAAAACACAAGGCACTCAACTATGTATGCCATGGAACTTGGCATGACCCTGCACAGCGCTTGTCACCGGCCGGCGCGTGTTTGGATCTGCTTGACTTTGCAAAGTGTTTATGCTGCCAGCTCACCGGCCCCACCGTCTTCGCGATCACGAGGACGATTGCCACGACAGCCTATGGCAACTTCACGTCAGTCTTTTTTTGCCCGGTCACACGATGGCGATCTTCCACGTAGACCTCCAGGGCCTATGATTGACGACATGCTCAGGTACCGTTTGCTGAATGTAGAATCTACCAGGGGCCGCCCGGTCATGTAAGGCACGCTATCGAGGCCGCTAGTAAGGTCCAGGGCTTTGATGGTTATGGTGATGGTCGTTTGACAAGATTGGGCCTTGAGTCTGATTCAGGAACTACCTTACCTAGCAACAAGTGTTTGTCGAGTAACGCGCGAAGCCAACGACCTGGCTCCTTTTTCGGTCGTCTTTTTCTGGCCACGGTAGGGGTGGTGAGGGGGGGGGGCTTGACGCAGATATCGGGAGATTGGCAGAGGATGGTCGGTCGGGTGATTGATTGATTGCCTGTGGACACTTCATATTACCTCCGAGATCGTCGTCGACAATTTTCCGAGACGCCGTGTTGCAGTACGGGCGGGTGGAGAGAGGGTCTCATCAGTGTGGCCCGGTGACATGGCGGATTGTGGATTGTAACGAGGGTGGACTTGTCTGCCTCTTAATATAAGAGAAGGGGAGATGGCCGGTAATAAAGCAAGCCGGAGACTGAATGCATAATTGATAATACTCAGAACGAAGTCCCGTGGCATGCATGGTTGCTTACCGACCTACCTACTTTACTATACCTAAGTTAAGGTATCCAAGGTACCAAAGTTATGGTGGCCACGGGCGATTGTCTGGCACATCAGGCAGATCAGCGTCATGGAAATCCGCCATCAAGATGAGGCATCATCTCAAAGCTATCTACGTTCCCAACACGTACATGGAAGGTAAGGTTTATCAAAATCACCATTCACGATCACGTCCAACTGTCCAACTGTCGAACATATGGCTTGAGTGGATCCATGCCTTAGCGCATGAGTAAGCTACCTTCATCATCATGCATAGCCTCAGAGCGTCGAAGGTCTCAGCTTTCTGAGAGCGGAGTATCGTGGTGTTTGAGCGGCCTGTCCAAGATGGGTCTGGCCGAGGCGATGATGGAGGGTCAGGGAGGATCAATAGTATTATTGGGAAAATACCTGCTCGATTTTTGTCTGACGTGAGAAGAGCACGGTCTGGGAGCTCACTCTAATGGTGGTGTACTTGCAGACAAGCCAGCCACAACAATACTGTAAGCGTTGCACTCGTATTCGGATTGACGAATACCTGTTGATACCACCCAGGCCAGTTCAATGCGCCACACGATGAGCCATAGGCTCCAGGTCAACCAACCAGACCAACCATCGTCCTTCTCATCTAGAAACGCTTAGATTGCCGGAGGGTTAAGCACATGTGGTGAGGCGAGGTGAGGTTGCATCTCCAGAAGGTTTCAACTGTTCGAGTGGGCTGACCTCGGCCTCGACTTTTCCCGGCAGTGCTTATCTGTTCCCGATCCAGTATCTCTATTGTGCTTGGCCGCCTTCCTTTCAAGTCCACATGCACAACTGTGGCAGATTTGATTTCCCTCTCAAAAGTTCTCTCCTCCTGTACGTAGACCAGGTAGTTTCACAACTCCGCCCCGAAAGAACACGCCTGGATTTTTTCTTTTCATTTTATTCCTTGGTCTCATCTCTCCAGTCGATAGGTAGGGTGAACACATCTGAGTAAGCGCTTTCCCCTCTCCTCTTTTTTCCATTGTCGCCAGACGCTCGGAAAGTCAGACCAAGGTACAATTGCGAGAAAAAGCCGACACAATGAGCCGATGCCGATTAGATCGTCGTCGGGGGGTTTTTAGTACGCCGGTTTCCGATTCCGAGCGGAACGCCCGACCATTCCTAGCTTGGTGTTTAGTGGGGGAAAACCTTAGTCACTGGCCTGACTCTGGTGCCAGATCTCGGTACTACCACAGTACACTTAGACTTCTTTTCGCTGACAACACGTGCGTCTCTTTCGCAGGTCGAACCGACTTTCCAGCGCTTGACCCCTCGGCCTTGACGACTGCTGCTGTCGAACCCTCTCGTCCGACAAGACAGTTTCCATAAACGTCTTTGACGACCCGACCGAAACTCTCTCGAAATTATCATCGACATACCACAACACTGCGCCTTTCAGCCGCCTGCAGCCGAGTTGCCCCTCAACACCACTGCCGAGATACCCTCGGTGCCAGAATAAGGAGACTCCCCGCCCGCCAACATGGCCGAGCTTGATACTCTGGACATCATTGTCCTGTCCGTGATTCTTCTCGGCACGGCCGCCTACTTCACCAAGGGCAAGTACTGGGCCATTGAGAAGGACCCCTACGCCAATGGTTTCGCCAGCGCCGGCGGCCCCAAGGCCGGCAAGACGCGCAACATTATCGAGAAGCTAGATGAGTCCGGCAAGAACTGTGTCATATTCTATGGATCCCAGACTGGTACCGCCGAGGACTACGCCTCCCGTCTCGCCAAGGAGGGCAAGTCTCGTTTCGGCCTCGAGACTATGGTCGCCGATCTTGAAGATTACGACTTTGATAATCTCGACGCCGTCTCCACCGACAAGGTCGTCATGTTCGTCCTGGCTACCTACGGTGAGGGTGAGCCCACCGACAACGCCGTTGAGTTTTACGAGTTTATCACGGGCGAGGACGTCTCGTTCAACGAAGCCAACGAGCCTGCTCTCGGAAACCTCAACTTCGTCGCTTTCGGCCTCGGTAACAACACGTACGAGCACTACAACTCGATGGTTCGCAATGTTACAAAGGCTCTCGAGAAGCTTGGTGCTCACCGCATCGGCGAGGCCGGCGAGGGTGACGATGGTGCCGGTACCATGGAAGAGGACTTCCTCGCCTGGAAGGAGCCAATGTGGACCGCCCTTGCTGAGAAGATGGGTCTTGAAGAGCGCGAAGCTGTCTATGAGCCCATCTTCAGCATCACGGAGCGCGAAGGCCTGACTCCTGAGTCGCCGAGTGTACCTTGTGAGCCTAACAGATGCATCTCGAGG